CCACAGCGCAGCAATACGGCTGTACTCCTCTGAGGGCGTGCCAACAGTGGCTCAATGAGCCGCACTGGGCCTCTGCAGGGGACTGGCCACCCCAAAAAGGAGATGGCACGGGGTCATGCCAGGGGCACTGGGGCCTGCCCGTCGTATTGATTTTCCCAGAAGTCGGCAGGGTAGTACCGTGTTGTGAGACTGGACACACAACCAACACAGCAGCACTGGGCTGAGTGCATTACAGCACAGTGCCATTTAACCCTCACCACCACGTGTGAGGTGGGGGTTTAATTCTCTTTTTACAGAGGAGGCTGAGGAAGCCCTGAGAGGCAAGGCAGATTCCCCACAATCACCCAGCTAGTAACTGGCCAACTGGGGTTGGAACTCAGTGATGTCTCTCCCTCAGGACCATCTCACGCCCCACGCAGTGAGTTTTGCAGCGGGAATGTCCATGAGTGTGATGCTAAGTGACACGGGTTCCTGGATGGCGCGGGCTGTGCCTGACCCATGTCTATGTCCCCTGCAGCTTTGAATTCAGAGGTCCCCATCCAGTAGGTGCTTGGTCATTCTTGAGGCTCCACAGTGCAGCTTGGGCTCCTGAAGGGTAAGGCAGAGATGGCTGATTCCCCCAAAAGCTGCCCTCCTCTCCTCCCTGATTAGCTGACCTCTTTTTTAAACAGGGTACTCTGCTTTGGTCCTCCATCCTGCTGCCGGAACACTGGTGTGATGACTAAATCTCTAGCAGCCAACCTGGAACATGAGGACAAGGGCCACTCCCCAGAGATGGTGAAACAGAACTGGAAGGAGCCTAGGGCCCTGAAAACTTCACGAAGGGCCCAGGAATGCCAACCTCTGGGCTTCATTTAGATGAGAAATAAAGCTCAATCTTGCTTGTTTTTGTTTTTTATTTATATATTTTTATTTATTTCAGAGAGGAAGGGGGAGAGAGATAGAAACATCACTGATGAGAATCATTGATCGGCTGTCTCCTGCACGCCCCACACTGGGGATATGCCCTGACCGAGAATCAAACCATAACCTCCTGGTTCATAGGTCGACGCTCAACCACTGAGCCACACCAGCTGGGCTCTATTTGGGGTTTTCATGGCATATTCCAGTGATTGCGAACCTTTTCAGCTCGGTGTGTCAGCATTTTGAAAAACCCTAACTTAACTCTGGTGCCGTGTCACATATAGAAATTTTTTGATATTTGCAACCATAGTATAAAAACGATTTATATTTTTGATATTTATTTTATATATTTAAATGCCATTTAACAAAGAAAAATCAACCAAAAAAATGAGTTCGTGTGTCACCTCTGATACGCGTGTCACCTCTGTCACGCGTGTTATAGGTTCGCCATCACTGGCATATTCTATCAAACCTGATCAACAGCAAGGAAGGGTTGTGGAAGAGAACAATCTCGACCTAAGTTTGAGAAGTGTAGGATTCCACTTGACAGAATGAGACAGCAGGGGGCTCAGAAGCTCATCCTACAGCCCAGGGCTGGACAAGGAAGCTGAAGCCAGCGGCTGAGGGTCTGGAATGCTGGAGTACCCTGGGATGAATGTTAGCCAGGAGCCAGGAGGTTTTGAGTGGAAGTGGTCTGATAACATCAGCAATTTAGCAAAGTGAATGCGGCAGCCTTTCCCAGGCCAGCAGAACCAGGATAGCCTGGATGGATGAGAGCTGCGGAGTCAAATGTTTCCTGAGTGTCTAGGTGCAGGCCTTGTGCTCCCGGCGCACAGGACAGAATCCTGGAGCTGAGTCTGAAAGATGCACCAGGCACTCCTGTATCCTTTACAGCAGTGCCTCCCATGTCTGCCTCCGCAGCCCCACACAAACTCAGATTCCCAGGCCCACCCAGAAGAGTAGGACCCACAGACAGGGGCGGGGATTCTGTATTTTTAGTAGCTGTCCCCAGGTGATTTTATGTACAGTCCATGGACATATTAAATAGGCTGGTACCTAAAACATAGGTTTGGATGTTTATTAAAAAATAAATATCCAAATAATATATTTCCATACTATTAGAAGACAACAAGCCAGTAGATTTTGAAAGACTTTCCATAATAGTCGAAACAACTAAGTAAATGTGTTGGGTGTGGGTTTTTTTTTTTTTAGCTATATAATCTAAGGTCACTAATAACTAATAGATCTATGATCTATTTCTGCAATCATTTCAGCAAAAAAAATACTTATGTGTCACTTGACTCTAGCCTGAGAAGAGACCTCCAGGTGTGAACATGAGTTCTAGGCTAGCCCTGTTCTGCATCTTGCAGACATGTGGAGTCCCAGAGCCCAGCCTGAGGGTTTCCCAAGATGTTCTAACACACTTCAGGGCAAGTCTCTCTGGGAGTGAACTTACAAGAGAGCAGTGCTCCTTAAAGGGGAAACATGGTACAAAGGGAAAAACACTGGTCTAAGACACAAGTCAGTAGCCCCCTTCTTCACCCCCCAATTGGCCTTGGGTGAGTTTCCTCACCTGTTGTGCTATATGCTCTTGAAGATCCCTCACAGTTCTGATGCAACCAGGGTGAGAATTTTTATAGTTTCCTTCTTCCTAATTAATACTGGAAAATGATTCTCAGTAAAAAATGCACTCCCATATACAAGGCATGGTGTGTGGTGCTGGGGAGACAATATTTAAGAGAAATCAGGGTCCATGCCCTTAAGGAGTTTATGGTCTAGAAAGGTAGACAAATAATTCATTCAATAATTATGTAACTGCCACTGTCATAAACATTACTAAGGAAAAGCACTTGGTGCTATGACAGAGCATAGTGAGACCTCAGGAAAAGTTTACCAAGCAAATATAACATTTGTGCTGAAAGCAGAGGACCAGTTAATAGGAGCAATTTTCTGCTAGAACTGATAAACCCTTATCTGACCATCTGGCTAGAAGCCCACAAACTCTCACCCCTGATACCTCAACAGGCTGGTGTTAATACTCAGGTCACTTGCAGCTGCCTCCAGGCCTTGGGTGACAGCTATGGCTGTCAGAACTGGGCCCAGTAGAGGGAGAGAAACACATAAAACATAGACTCCAAGCTGGACCTGCCCCTGGACCAATATTTCTGGTGCTATGTGCCGAGCATTATGCAGAGGGATGGGAGGTAAGACATGATATTGTAAGAGCACCGGAAGGTACACAAGGGAGGAAGAGGAAGATATGCCCTTCTCCCCCTAAGGAGGGGATAGTATCTGAAGATGGGCAAGCCTTGGAGATGGAGAGAGAAAGCATCCTGGCAGTAGAACGACATGAACAAAGCATGGAAAGCACTGGGTGTGCAACAACGGTAGCTGGGGCTCGGGATGAGGGATAGCAGAGAGCTGGCAGTGATGAACAATGGGCCTGAGTTGCTACCTTTAACTCCGAAAGTGAACAGATGACAATGCTGGTCTTCAGGGTGGTGTCTGGTGTCAAATCACAGCTCCCGCCCAGACTGGCCCAATGACCAAGAGCCCTAGGTTTTCTCCATTGGACTAGAGCAGCGTTTCTCAAACCTCAGAGCCGTAAGGATCACCTGGGACAGGTTGCCAGGCCCCACCTCCAACTGGAAGATTCCAAGGGCCCCTCCAGCCACAAGCTCCAGGCCCTGGACTCTTGGCCTCCTACAACACAGAGTCCAGGCCTGGGTGACCTTCCCTGACTATGGTGGGTGTTCCTGGTAAGCAGGGGACAGACCTTTGATGCTGTGGGGAAGCAGGAATGGAGAGCTGTGGAGGGCTGGGCCCAGACTGTCTCCTACTCTAGGGACACTCTCAAAAAAGGTGAAAGTAAAGAGTAGCCAAGGGCCCAGGAGGAAAGAAAGGACATTCCAGGCAGACAGTACAGCTTGTAAATGTAAAGGCACATTCAGTGCAGTTACCATCTCAGGTGCTGCATGTAGGTGAAGGATGAGAAGCAAAGCTGGAAGGGATGTCCAGGCCCACAACACAGGTAGCCCTACCAAGGAACTAGGACTTGGAGTCTGTAGGCAACAAAAAGCCACAGCAGACCCCTAAAGCCGGCAGGATCCTGGCAACGGCTCCCCTTAGTCACTTACTGGGCACAAATACATTGAACACTATTATTGCCTCCCCACCACTCCCCACCACCACCATCAGTCTCCATCCTTTACGATCACCTACGATTCCTATCCAAAAATCAAACCTCGGATCCCCTCTGTGCAGCTACAGGTCAAATGAGGCAAGCAATTTAACTATCAGAAGGCAACACTAAGCCAGGATCCCAGTCTGACATGACAGGGAAAGGTTGGTCCAGCCTGCAACAAGTTGGCTAGCTCGCTCTGCTCTCCCCAGCTCTGCTCCTGCAGCTTTCTTTCTCTTGCTCCCTTGGAGGAATCAGCAACCCTAGATGAGTTCACGATCCTTGAGGGTGGGAAGGCTGGGGCGGGCGGGGGTGAGGGAAGAGATGGTTCACACTGGCTGGGTTTGAGGTTGACCAGTTCCCACTGCAATAGCATAAAAACCAGAAGAAATGTTGGGGCAACTTCAACAATTCACGCAGCCTCTCTAAGAAAGGCCCTGTCTGAAGACTCTGCACAGGGTGACTACTGGTGTCTTCAAATGACCTGCCTCATCCTCAAAAGTCAAAGGCTAAGAGAGTAAAAAGAGGTGCAGACTCTGAAGGTACTGCTGAATCGCGCAATGCTAGCAAAGAGGGGGTGTGCTGATTCTCTCGAGGGGGCCGCAGTTAATCGGGAGGGGGTGGAGTTCTGGTCAGGGTTATCAAGTTAACACGGCGGCTCCACTCCTGCACCAGCTGAGTGCATGGGGCTCACGGGCAATACTTTCAGTTCGCAGTGAAAGCACATTTCGGACGGGGCGTGGGGGTGGGGTGGGGGGTGCAGGGGCGGTGGTGGTGTGGAGTTAGGCTTCCAGAGGCGTTGGCAGTGGGCAGCGCAACGAAGGCACTCCCCTCACAACCCCTGGGCGCGCGCACTGGCCGTCCTGGGGACGCGGTGGGCCAACCGCCCGGAGCCCCCAGCGGCGGCCCCACTCACCTTGCACTTGAAGCCGGCGGCGGGCGGCAGCAGCTCCCGCAGCAGGGCCTTGGCCACCTCGCGGCTGGCCTCCTCGCTCACGAAGTGCAGGTTAAGCACCTCATGAGCCTCGAACTTGGCAAGGCGCAGCAGGGAGCGCAGCGCGACGCGGGCCTTGGCCTGCAGCGCGGCGTTGTGCTCCGCCTTGGTGAACATCATCAGCAGGTGGTAGTCCACCGGACCGGCCGCGCCGCCATCCAGGCTCTTGGCCTTGGCACCCAGGGCGGGCGCCACGGACCCGCGCGCCTGTTCCGGCACCGGCGGGGAGGGCGGCGCGGGGGCTCCGGCGCGGGCCTCCTTCAGCCTCTTGGTGGCGCTGGAGAAGGTCTCCCGGCCCGAGCCCAGGTAGTAGAAGGCACAGACGGCGAGCGCCGCGGCCAGCAACAGCGCGCAGTAATGGGAACGCACCGCGCCCAGGCGCGCCATGGCCCGAGCGCACGGGGGCCCGCCTCGGAGGATGCCCATGCGGCCAGGACACGGCACCCAGCCGCCGGAGAGGAGCCGCGGAAACCCGTCGTCCGGCAGCCACTTAGCTGCACCGGCGGCGGGCGGCGGCCATGGCGGGGACGGAGCTACGCTGCACTGAGCCAATCCGAGGGCGCTGATGCGCTGAGAGGCGTGGCCAGAGCTGCCCCGCAGCTGCTGGGTCCTAGGTTCAAAAGGATTGAAGCCGGGATGAACCGCGGCAGTGTGATCTGAGCAGCGACTCTGGGATGGAGAAAGCCAAAGGCCTGCACGAGCTGTGAAATCTTGTCCTCTTAAGTGCTTAGCCACAGGCGCTAGGATCGAAGCTGAGCCTTAAAAGGTCCCAACGCAGGACCTTCGGTTAGCAAAAAGACTAAACTGCACCCACAAAGAAAAAATTTGTTATCTCTATACCCGTTCCTCCCTCATTTCTTTGAGGCCTTAAGGCTTAAGTTCTCTCCCGACTTCACTCACATCTTGGAGACCAACTGGAGCTGGGGAATGTAAACTAGCCATTTCCTTCCCCCATTCACGGTGAAGTAGGGTTGACGCTTGTGGATAGAAAAAACCTTTTACCCGACTTGTCATCTCTGAGGCGACCAGAGGCATCTAAAGAATGTGGCCAGCAGGGGGACCCCGCTGCCCAAAACTTCGGAATAGTTCAGAGAGCCCCAAAGGAGTAATACCAGAGATGGTAATACCAATTCTTTTTTTTAATCTTTATTGTTGAAAGTATTACATGTGTTCCCTTTTTCCGCCCGTTGACCCCCTCCAGCCCGCCCCCGCCCCCCGCCCCAAGCCTTCACCACCCTATTGTCTGTGTCCATGGGTTATGCATATATGCATACAAGGTTTTTACTTCAACACTTAAAAAGCCTTAATATGTACCGGGTAGTTTTGCAAATTCTAAACGAAGGCACATTGAGGTAAATTCTCCGAGGGCACACACACTAAGGTCCTTTTGAACCTAGGAGCCATTGCCAGCTTTGCCCCGACAGTTGGAAACTGTCAGCTATATAAAAACTCATTAACTTCAGTATCTTAAGGACTGATGATACACCATAGTGTGTAAGTACCTGGTAAGCATGTACAAATGGCCTGTGTGCTTGAAGAGGTGGAGGTGAAAATACATGGAAAAACTCTCTCACCAGTCTATTGTGCCATGCCATTATTCCTCAAAGTGTGGTTCCCAGACCACAATTCATCTCATTTTTAACCCTTGTTCTTTTCAACCAGAGCAACACTTTTCTGAAAAACATTGGACCCCTGAAACAGGCTTGGCAGCAAATTCAATGCATACTACTCATCTTTTTTAAAAAGACCAAAAAAAAAAAAACCCAATAGCAGAATTAGCTCAGTTAAGTAACAGGTTCTTTGATTCGTGTAATCTTCACAACTCTGAGAGGTAATATTTGCACTTTACAATATAGGAAGCTGAGATTTAGATAAATAAATTACCCAAATCTAGTTGGCTAATGAATAATGGAACCAGGACCCTAACCTGAGTCTCACTGCTTCCAAAGCTCAAGCTTTTAGCCAAGGTTAGCACTGAAAGCAGTAATTTGAGCTTGTTATTGTGTGTATTGTACCACAATCTTCAGCAGATGACACTGTGGCTAAGAGAGCAAGCTCTCTTAAGAGCCTATTAAAAGTAAGTCAAGAAGCTGGACTTTCACACTGGAAGACCACTGTGCCTCTACAAGCTGATAGACATCAAGCAAGTTACTAAATTTCTCTGAGCTGCAATTACACCCATATACAAAATGGGGTTAATACTGGTACCTATGCCTCATGGGGTTATGAGAGAAAATAGATTAAAAAGCAGAACTGTACCTAACAAATAGTTACTACTAACTGTAGTAAACAAATATAAAATATGCTAGAAATGCCAAGCTCTTTTAAAAAAGTCTAAATAGCCAATAAATACCAAAATACAAATTAGCAATCATAGCTTTTTGTGGGTATTTACAAGCACTAAACCCCACATCTCCATTAAGACTTCATGTTCCACAGAATCCCCACAGCAGTGTGCTGCAGCTATATTATTATCCCAACGATTGTTTATAAGGGAGAAATAATTCTCAAATTGTGCCTTTTAAGCCTCCAACCTACACCATCAATAAGGTAGCTCTTTCCTCTGTCACTTATTCTAGAATGTATTCAGCTAATATTTTCTTCTTCAGACCCTTTATAAGACCTCAGTACTCCTAGGATTAATGACTAAGAAATGAATAACAAAATAATTTAAATTTTACAGAGAAAATCAGTCGACACAGGAAGGAACTGGTCTTATCTCAAGATTTCCTTATTCCCAATTCTTAGTGAAAACTAATTTTGCAGCTTCCTGAAGAATGCTATTGCCTGGAATCTAAAACAGTAAGTTGAAAGTAGTAGCCAGTCATTTGTTCAGTAGTTACCAAGTGACTACTACACTACATGCCAAGCATCAGAGGATACAGCAATAAAGAAGAAAAAGAAAACAAATAAAACAAGAATCCCTGCCCTCGTGGAGTTTACATTCTAGCGGGGGAAATAGACAAGTACAAAAAAGCATGTAGGATGTCAGGTGGTGATTTGTTCTATTTCCTCAGCTTAAAATAGATACATCTGGGTGTGTAATATGGCTAAACGTAGACAAAGAATTTTGGTAGGCACAATTACCCTTCAGTTCTTACTTTTAACTTTGGCCAAGTTCTCTGACTTCTGACCATAGATTAGAGGTGATTAGTTTTTCCTGTTGCATAATTTCCACATCTGTAACATTAGGTAGATTATCAGATTTTGCTGTTGTATTGACTACTACCCAATACTGTCACCCAGGCACATTCCTTCTCAGCAGATGAGGGTGTGTTCATTGGTACAACTTTTCTGGAGGACCCATGGGCAATCCTAAAATCTTTATGGCCTCCAAAAGAACTTCCAGTTCTCTTTTCTATTCAAATGAATGTTTCTTCCTGACAGTGGTTCTCAGATTTTGGTTGGCATTAGAAGTACCTGGAGGGCTTAGTGAAAACATAAAGGCTCAGGCCCTACTTACCTTCAGTGAGCCTGAGCCTCAATGGTGATTATTTCACAGACTAAAGTTTGAAAAGCACTACCCTAGACCAGTGGTCGGCAAACTCATTAGTCAACAGAGCCAAATATCAACAGTACAACGATTGAAATTTCTTTTGAGAGCCAAATTTTTTAAACTTAAACTATATAGGTAGGTACCTTGTTATTAACTTAATTTGGGTACTCCTAAGCTGGCCTTTGCTAAAAACGTCCTCAGTCTGACTGAGGTACGTTCACTGAGGGCGACCCCTTCCAACTCTCCCATCCACACTCGTCTTGTATACTTGTTTCATCTATCTCCTTTCGTTCATCCTCTCTATATGTCCAAACCATCTCAACATACCTTTTTCAATCCTCGACACTACGTCTTTTCACTCCACAACGTTTCCTAAAATTAACTTAATACACTTTACTTAAAGTTTTGTCAACTTCGTACTGTAAGTGCTCGCCCGCACGTGGTATTTTGTGGAAGAGCCACACTCAAGGGGCCAAAGAGCCGCATGTGGCTCGCGAACCGCGGTTTGCCGACCACTGCCCTAGACCTTCACCCAGCCAACCTCTTTCAACTTCAGACCTTGGCTTAGATGTCACTGCCTCAACAAGTGGTCTCTGAACATTAACCAACCCATGTCTGGCTGAGGCACCATCCTCCACAATCCCGAGGGCCATCTATACATCAGCCAGTCCCATCTTTCTCTGTTGCAAGAAGGCAGACTCCAAGAGAACAGAAGTGTCTACCCTTTTACCATAATATCCCTAGTACCTAACACTGTGTCTGACTCACTGAATGAGCCACAAAAATATACCCACCCATTGTGAACCAGTGGTCTAGGAAATCATTCTAAGGAAATAGTTAAGACTGTACTCAAATATCTAGCCAAAACGATAAAGCAGAGCTAGGTTTATGATGCCAAGAAATTGGAATCCAATGTTCATAATAAAGGGGCTAAACTAAAACGATGCTTTCAATAAAAATGGTGTATTCAACAAATGCAAGTAGAAACTTTTTAAAAAAATAATAGAACCTATAGACTCGAGACATTATTAGCAAACTGCAATGAATAACACACGAATTCTGATTTGAAGAACCGTTTTTAAAAAAACACGCACACATTTGGGACAATCGTGAAAATTTGAATACCGACTATAGCTTTCTAGTTTAAGGACATGTGGTATTGCCCTGGCTGGTGTTCGTCAATGGTTAGAGCACCAGCCTACAAACAGAAGGGCTGCAGGTTCCATCCCACCCTGTCAAGTGCAGGAGGCAACCAATCGATGCGTCTCTCTCACATCTCTCTCTCCCTGCCCCCCCCCTCCACTTTATCTCTAAAAACATAAATGTGGTCTTATGCTTGGGCTTTTTATTTTTAAGAGTTCTTTCAGAGATACATACTGAGTAATTTGCTGGTTCAATGTCTGGGGTTTGGTTTCTGAAAATCTGGTAAGAGAATAAAATGGGTGGGAGTACAAATAAAACAATGTCAGCCATGAGGTAATAGCTATTGAAGTTATTCTACTTTTTATGTTTGAATTTTTTCATAATAAAATGTTTTTTAAATCCTCCCCAAAGTGATACAGAATACTTAAGGACTTAAAAATTTCCCGTTTATTAACCAAAAGAAGCAGGTAAAAAACAGTATGATCCCACTGTATATAAATGCACATACCCAAAGGTCTATAAGGACATATGCCAAGGAAGTAAGTTTTCCCCTCAGTGCTCTCCAGTAGAACTTCCTATGATGCTGGGTATTTACCTGCCACGTTCAAAACAGTAGCCACAAGCCCGGCCGGTGTGGGTCAGTGGTTGAGCATCAACCCATGAACCAGGAGGTCACTGTCAGGGCACAAGCCTGAGTCTCAGGCTAGATCCCCAGTAGAGGGCATGCAGGGGGCAGCTGATCAATGATTCTCTCTCATCATTGATGCTTCTCTCTCTCCCCTTCTCCATTTCCCTTCCTCTTTCTGAAATCAAAAACAACAAATAGTAGCCACAAGTCACATTAGTAAGCCCTTAAAACTTGGCAGTGCAATTAACTTTGTGTAATTTTAATTA